GCCCGCCGCTTATTAAGCCCAATTTGGTCTAGGCCCGAGGTGGGCTTAATAGGCGGCGACTACTGTATCAGTACTGGACTGCACGAACTTTCCTGGACTTAAGTACAAAAAGTTAGACAGCGCACCGTCTTCAATACGACGTGGACTGCCCAATGTCCGAATTCCCAACGCAAGCACTCGGAAAATCGAGACCTCGGGGTCAACTCCCGTTTCATCCTCGACGACAATGACCTACTCAACTGTTCTGGTAAACAAGAGTGGTGATTTTCAGACAACAAGCAAACCAGACATTACTTGTGCAGAGGCCAGTAAAATAAGACTGGCTTACGTACGACTGAAAGGTCACTTTACCAACACTGCAGTCTACGTATCAACATCGGCTGCCGACCAGTGCGATAGGGAAACTTTCTATTTACGACTTGGGTGAAAGACGCCCTCAGTTGCGCTCTGCTGAATGCTGTCGGAGACTTTAATGTTCAGACTCGGTACGGCGACTCTTCGAACGGTCGACATATTGGCCGCCTTTGGCTCTGTTTTCGATGCGATAAAGACCTGAACTAGTTAGCTGTCACCAACACGTGCTTACACAACAACGCGACAAATATCTGCTGACCTGGTGTCTAAACGGCGGTCATAAGACCAGTTAGATCGACTAGATTGTAGTCGGTTCAAGGCTCGGTAGCTGGGTTCACGAGGGCAAATCGATAAGCAACGTTTGTGTGTCTGACCACGTTTTTGTTCGCATGCGCCTGAAAGTTTACCTATCATTCGCACCTAAGATGTCACATGCAAGACGCCTTAATGTCACAAAACTACGACAAACAAGCACTGAAAAGGCTCTAGTCACATAAGTCTGGTTTCATTCTATGAACCGAGTTGAAGGAGGAAGTAGAAAGTAGTCATAATTGAAGTCATCAATCTATGCGGCAGTTACTAAAATCGTTGGATTAACCCAAAGTACGCTGCACGAAACGGCGCCTAGGGGATGGCATTCCCGCTGACATCTGAAAGTATTGTGTCGATGTTCGGGGTGATTGAGTAGGCATGGGAAGGTGAGTTGATTTTTGATGATTATGGTTTGGGCATCTTTAAACCCGTCTTCAGGAAGAAAACTATGACAGTGTCCGAACTACTGCGACGCCGGTAATACTAAATCGTTTTTGGGAGGGGGGGAGGGGGTGCATCGCTGACCAGAGGCATACACCATTTTGGATTAAGGACTATCAACCTGAAGTGCACAGTTGCAAATACCTCGAGCTAGCTATGATTTCCGAATCGACAGAATAAGAACGAACGCCCCCGAATCGATGCTGTCAGCGGAGCTTTTACTTGCCTTGAAATCGACCTACGAATGACTAACTCGTACCCACCAGGAAGATTTTCGACGGAAGGAGTCCAACACTGCGCAGACGATAGTGAAACAGACGGCCGTCGGTTACTGATAGCCGTGGTAGAATTCAAGAACAACGCCTTACAGTTCAGGTTATCAGAGTAGCGACCACTAGACTGCGTGGGCGCCCCGGTCTTCTTGACTGTGCGTTGCCGCCGAGCCCAAGTGGGTAACGGAGGGGAGAGGGGGGTGAATTGCGACAGATGATGCACCAGTCACCGATGCTGCGCCCACTATGAGTGGCAAAGGGTAGAAATCATCGTTTGCAGTGGTGGAACTAACAAATACAAGCACAAAGGGTTACAAATGGCTTGCCAAGAGTGAGATTCACACGTCGCCGACCAGGTTGTGAGGCATTCGAGACAATAATCTATAGACTTGATTGATGTGACAGTTCGACCATTGTTTCCAACGATGTCCAGCAAACTGAAGGCAGACGCGGTGACTGTAGCTGAATTTTAGTGAAAGTAGACTCGCAGGATCTACCCCACTCGCTCACCACTACCATAGCTGTACCCCATGTCAAGATAAAAGTCGAGAAGACCACAGATGGGGGAGGGAGCAAGTGGCTGGTGCGGCCGAGGCCGCCCCTAAGCGTGCAACCACACTCAGAACGGTCAGTTTCGCGAGACAAGCACGAAGCGACTGGCCGGGTGGCGTTTGCGACTACACAGACGAGAGCGTGACAGCCACTACCGCCATCACGCCGCCCGCAAATTCGATAGGCACCACCAGCCGGTAGTCACTCCTTTGGATCAGAAAGAGAGAAGATAAAATTAACCGGACAACCATGTACACGGCCTGTAAACCCAGTGGGAGCGCAAGCGCATACAATCAGATCCAAGAAAACCGCCAGCGCACACCTGGCCGCAGGGACCATAGTTCCCTGAACCGTGGCGTTGCATACGCACACAATCCTTAAATCTCAGAAGGGTGAGAGAACAGTCCTGCACTTAGCCTAGGCCTTCACCCTACAGATAATTTGATTGATGTAATAGAGCTGCCATTGTACTATGTGGCTTTTTAAGGGATATGTGGTGTACTAAACCTCAACGTTCCGTGTCCTCATACTAATTTACTTCGAAGTTTACCACCAGTCCAAGGGCTATCAAATTCATAACAAGTCCTAACTGAAAACAATTAACATAGGTATCGCCAGTGGACGAGTCGTGCACCCTTGAGCGACGTTTAGAAGCAGACACAGTCTTCGATTGGCCCTAATCAAAAGGCAATGTCAACAGTAAAGGCAGCTGACAATATACAGATGATACCATACGCGAGAACCCTACTCAACGATTAAAAATTGTCGAGGCTCATGACAAATTACCTCGGCCAGTTCACGTTTGACCGATGCGAGAGGCTGCGTAAGTGTAGCTATCTGCGGGCGAATGACGCCTCGAAGCTGCTCAAAGCCGTGATCAAGCAGTTGGTGGAAGGATCTTTCGAGTGATTCAAACAAATCCGAGAGACAGGTCTGTAATTTAAAAAAAAAACAAAAAGCAGAAGTAGAAAGGTAAATGCCGAAAATGTGAACATAGTCAGGCGGTAAACCAGCACAGACCCACATAAACAGGAAGAACAATGGCATAAAATAGTACCTGAAGTTTGGAAAGATCGGACTCAGAACGGAGGCCGAAAACGTCTTTTACCAGGTGCTGCAACGTCGTCCTCAGTACCTGCAGACACTTAAGACAGGCCTCCAGGGAATTGAGGGTAATGAGGTATTGAACCTGAGGGTCGCTGGTGGACATCTTCCCGCTTGAGTTACTCGAAGAATGACCTTCGCCTGAGCTGCCGTTGCCTAGGAGGCCAGTCTTCAAGGTTCCACCTGAAAAAAGGCATGGGACGTATTACCTTGGTGGTGGTGGCGGCCTACAGTAACACGCTTGTCTTTGTGTGTATTTATAGGCAGGAGGAATGGTGTGGACGCACTCTTGAGCCCCGCCAGCAGTCGTACGGTGACTATACCCCGGTTGGTATGGTAATTTCTGGCTTATTAGCTATCATCAGCTAGCCACACCCAACCCCAGGTTGTAGGTTCAACCCTTGGGCGGAGCGCCTTATGGGGTTGGGTATGGCTGGCTGGCTGGCTGGCTGGCTGGCTGGCTGGCTGGCTGGCTGGCTGATGATGATGATGATGATGATGATGAT